TTACTGCCGCCACCGGCTCTGTCTTGCACGGCGTTAACTGTGTCACGTTAGGCATTGCTAGACTCAGTTTCCTCATCTGTGTTCCGGCAGCTGCTGCCCTGGTCCCCAAGTGTTTCAGAGTGGTGGCGCTCTCCGTCCCAGGCTTCCAGGAGAAATGCAGAATTCCCATTCCCAGGGAGGGGAGCGTTAGCTCGAGCCTGCTGACCCCAGAGGCCACTTTCCCCAGGCTCCCAGAGCTCTGGGACAAGGTGGGACGCGCATACCTGGGCTCTGGAGTCAGACCTGGGCTCGAGTCCCAGCTCAGCCACTTAACCCCATGAGCAGTGGCCGAAAGTCCCTGTGAGAGTGTGGAGTGGATGGTGCGGGAAGGCTGCTTGGCACAGAGGTGAGGGGCATGCAAGGTAATGATGAGGCTGCAGCAGATCTGTGCGTCGGCTGTCTGCCCATGTGTGTGAGGGGTTAATCCCCTCCGCAGAGAGCAGGCAGCCCACCTCTCCGCTGGGCCTGCCACGGGTCCTTGGGAAGGATGGAAGCCCTGTGGGACAAGGGTGCACGGGGAAGAGCGTGTTAGTCTTAGGATGAGGGCTGGGACCTGGGGCGCCCAGGGAAATCCATCCTTGGTGTCAGAAATCCTTGGGCTCTCTAAGCGCCAGCCACAAGGAGAATTGGAGGGGAGAGAAGGGGGGGGAGAGGGAGAGAGCGAGCAGGAGAGGGTGAACACACAGCTCTGTAATGGAAACTTGGCACCCCGCCTCCACTTTCTTTCCTTAGCGCTCGTGGCTTGAGTCTCGGGTTGAGAACTACTTCCCCTTCCAGCAGGCACCCCGCTACCCCCATGGTCCACTCCTGTGTCCCACCCCTGCCCCTCAGAGCCTGCAGTCAGACCTGCCACCCCTGCTCCCCAGTGTGTGACATGGGACACGTGAGCCTGCTGCCTCCCTTTGTGCCCCCACCCCCTCCCGGCTAATTAGGCCAGCATGCACTTCCAGGGCCTGGCAGATGAAGAGCCAAGAATGCCGTGGACAGGGGCCAAGTGTTTTTGTTGACATTGCTCAAGTACAGCTTTGTGGAGCAGTCTCTGCCACAGCAGAGGAGTCCGAGGACGCCCGAGATGAGGGGAGAGCTGTAAAAACCCGTGTGGCCACCTCCCCAAATCTTCTCTGCCTTCCCCGCTGCCCACCCTCTGCCCCTCCTCCCTCAGTCCAAGAATATAACCCTCCATGTCGTGACCCGCGGGACCAGCTTAGTCTGTAGGAAACCCACACACAGTGGAGCATCGCGCATCCAGCGGTGTTTGAGAACCATTTTCTTGGTTCTTTGAGATGCTTTCCTGGGGTGATGCTCTTGCCTTGCTGCTGTTGCTAACGGTTTCTGAGAAAACAACCTTCTTGAAAATAAGGCCAGTAAGACTGTCCTCACTCTAACCTGTTGTAGGGTGCAGGCTACAATGACCTGTAGCTGGGTGATACAACCAGGATCTTCCAGACCTGGGTTCAAATCCCATTCTGCCCCTTCGTGCTCCCTGTGTTCCCTTGGTCGAGCCTTTTAACCTCTTTGTGGTTCAGTTTGGAGCCAATAGTTCAAATAATACTGTTGTAAGATGACATGTGATGAAGAAAGGAAGATTCTTTGCATGTAAAGAGACACCCAGTAAATGGAAGCCGTGATAACTACGAAATGTAGTTGATGGCCATGGGTTGGCTCTGATTTTAGGCAAATCTACTCTGACTTATTTACTCTAAAGGTAAGTTGACCCAGAACCAGCTGCCTCCTCCTACCTCCCCAGGAATTTCGTGAGGACAAATGAAATGGGATATAATATTGCCACTTGGTTCTCAGTGGGAAGCGAACGCGGGGCTTACTTCCATCCTTGTTTTCTCAGACTCTGATCTCTGCTCTAGTGGTCAATGCTGAAATATATTTTTGTTGAGATAAAAGTTTGTAGGTTTTGGAATCCAGAGGTACTGCTTTAATAGTCTCTAATTCCTGAAGATATTGAATCATTATGTTAAAAAAAATCCTCTAATTTTCTGCTACAATAGCTGGCTTTATTTATACATCTCTTAATTGGTATCAGCTTTTCTCCCACGATTACAGAACCATGGAAACTTGGCCTAGGAAAGAACGTTGGAAGCCATTGGAAGGGACGCTCTTGCTTCTTTGCAAATCTTTGCCTTGCTGTGTCACAAAGCACTTTTCTCTGACCCAGATGATGAGAACAGCAGAGTGGCCAGCCTGTTGGTCCACAGCACAGCTCTGTCTTTGAATCTTGTGCGGGCTGGCAGATGCCTTTGGTGCCTTGCCCACATCACTTTGTTCTTGCCTCTTCAGTGCGCACTGGCACTGTTCAGCTGTTAGCACCTGCATCTCATTGTCCAGGGCCATTTCCCAAGCACCAAAAGGCCCTTGGACATGTGGCAGGTTGGAAGTGCCAGGGAATTAGCATCCCCTGGGAACAGCTTTCAATCAACGGCAAACCAGGAGTAGTTAAATAAATGCCCAAGCCCCCTCACCTCTTGGGTGTCTGAGATCCATTGGCGCCCAGAGCTTTCCAGAGGGTTCGAGCTCTAGTTGATTCATTTTGGGAGTGCACCTGAAATGCACCCTCTATTGGCTGGCTCCCTTTTCCTGTCCCATTTCCCTATTCCTAGGTCATCTCTCCCCCCGCCATATAAACCACCTGTGCTGAATCCTTGCCTCTGGTGCTGCTGCTGCAGACACCTGGCCTGAGACAAATGGGATGTTTTTCTTTGCATTTTCAGATTATTTATGATAATATGGTATTAAATTCATATTTTAGTGCTGCTTGTTGGATTTTAAGGCATTGACCTTACTGTTTCTTCATGAGTTTTTGAAATTTTTTTTCTCTGCTTTCAACAGTCTTAATCATAAGAATTAACCGTTCAGGTTAACCAGACTAGACAAAAGCCTGCTTTTTCCTAGGATTGTCTTTGGTATTATCCTAATGACTTTGGCTAAACTGATATATGTGGCTACCATGCAGGTTTTATATTTCAGAGTCTAAGGTTATCATTTATTGTAGATAGGTTCCTTTTTTTTTTTTCTAGAAAATACCTCAGGACTGTCCTGGCCAACATGCATAAGTTTATATCTTGATATTTTACATCTGGGAGCAGTTTCCCTTTGAGAAAGTCCTCAATGCATGAGTGGCTGATATTTTTTGTGTCTTATTGGCTTAGATGAGATGTCCAAAAACATTGTGATTTTAAGAAACTTCTACGAGCCTCACTGTATCCATCCTCAGAATGGGAATAATTATTTTGATATGTGCTTACTGAGCATCTACTCTGAGCCAGCAGTCATTAGGTGTTGGAGGAACAACAGTGGACAAAGTAGATAATGTTTGTGCTCCTCCTTTCTTTCCCAAGTAATGCCATGAAGTTCAAGTTCAATAATGAAGGTGAAATTATTTAGGAAACTGAACCACCATGGAAACAGAGGAATGCGAGTGATGACCCTCAGCTTTTCATTGACCATTTCAGACACCACATTGATGTGGCTGGATGCGTGTACCCTCCAGCCTTTGTGAAGACCACTGGGCCCATGAATTAGGCCCTCGTCTTATACTTAAATCCATTCTCTGACCACCACAACTCTGGAACTCAAGAGGCTGCCACTGTCTCATGTCACATCTTTGTTTAGGGCCAAGTCACTAGGAAGAGTCACTTTGCTTGCTCTTCCCACTTTCCATGACCTGCTGATGTCCAGCTTTGGCATTTCTTTGCCTCTGTCTTCCTTGATGTGCCCATAGTTGCCAAGGTTCTTGGCCACTCTTTCTGTTTTGAAATTCTCTGGCTGCTCACCTGCTGCTGACTGTTTTCCTTGCTCATGATCCTTTGCTGAATTCCTTTCTTCTGCTTGCTCTCTGAAGGAATGGAGAGTTCTCCACAATTTCTCGTTCCGTTCCCTTCTCTTTATTCCCCTCCCCTGCTCCTCTGGGAGACGCTATTCATACGTGTCTCATAGTCTTCCGTTTGCCTGTGACTCTCCTGCTGCTCTGTCCCCAGAGGTGTCTACTCCCACGTTCCCGTAGGCAGCATGCTTCCCTTGCAGTGCTCCGCAGAGCCTTCACACTCAACACATCCTTAACAGAGAGCATCCCGCATTCTCCCCTCTCAGGTACCTCCCAGTCTCTGTTCTGTTTCCTGGCACCTGCACCCCCACAGTCGTCTCAGCCCGAGACCTCGGCACTGTTACATGCTTGTCGCCTTCATATACTCAGTGGTCTGCTTTTCTTTGCGCCTTCGCCTCTTGTTTATGGAGCTCTTGCTATGTGGCATTCCAGGCCTAGGCTCTTAGATGTCGAAATGGTGTCTCAGCTTGGGTAACCCTCCAGAAGCAGGTCCTGATCAAGTGGTCAATTGCAGGAATTTTTTTGGGGAGGTGGTTCAGGGAAATACCGGTAGGGAGAGTAGATGCTGGTGGGCTGGAGCCAGTCATACTGACTTAGTGGACCTAAATGTGCCCAGCTCTTCCTAAATTCAGATTCAGTGAGGCCACGTTTGTAGCTTGAAATAGGCCATAATGGGACTATTTACACCACAGAAATTGGCCCATGGCTGCACATGAAGACTTTCCCTCCTAGAGAGTTGATTGTTAAACATTTCTCTGCATGTTTTGGAGGCAGGGGAGTAAGACAGGGAAGGACAGCAGCCAGTCAGGTGTGTTTTATCATGAGAGTTACACTGTAAACAACTAGAGTGGGATCCCAGTCAGGAAAACTCTGGAATCCAGGTTAGAATATATACCTCCAAGTCATCTCTCTAGAGCAGTGAGGTATTAATATACTACTTCCTACCAGTTACTGGCTGAGGGCTGCCTCCGTTGGGCCCAGTAGGATCCAGCAGCCGGAGGAAGTACAGTGGTAAGGCTACGAGGGTGTAGGCGGGGCTGAGCTCCTGATGGCTGAGTAAAACACTGGGCACCCAGATTGGTCAAGGCCAACTAGTGATGTATGGTTATTATCTGTTTCTCCCCAGACCTCGACTTCATGGATCTCATAGGGGAAGACAGACAGTGGACGCTGGGGAGGAAGTTAATGCAGGTGAATGACACTCTGACTTCAGAAGACGCAGGACTTCGGAGCAGCAAGAACTGCACTGAACCAGGTAACCGATGGCTGCGCTCTGGGCAGTGGCTGCCGTTTTCTCTGGTTATGGCGAAGGAAGAGCCGGATGCCTGTTTTTCCTTTGAATTCTAACTCAGAGAGACTTGAAGGACATTTAGGGCAAGTGTCTAAGGTGAGGTCCCAGGGAGTAGTCAGAGGTGTTTTTACCTGTGTATTTTCCCAGGGGCGCTGCGGGAAAGGTAAGTCAAAGTCATGGGAAATGCTGTGTTAGGGAGCCCAGGCATCTCCTTTGCTATGGGAAAGGATGGAGTCAGATACGATATGATGACCAGCTCCAGGATTCTGGGTTCGGCCACACTGGGGCCAGCAGTGATGGAGGGCTTCTGTCCCTTGGTGTGGGAGTTATGGTTTAGGGAGGTGATGTTTTCTCTCTGTGAGTGGCATTGCTCACTGTATCAAGAAATGCCTTTCTCAGGGTGACAGATGTAGAAGAATGAAACACATTAAAAGCCACTGCAAGAGAGGAGATGACTCAGTTTACAGGTAGAAAAGATGAGGTCCAGGTTTTTAAAAAGCACATGTGCCCAGCACCTGCTGGGGCTGGCAGGGGTCAGGGACGGGGTGACAGGGAAAGGGAGGAGAGGAAAGGCTTCAGGAGGGCATGGGGAGGAGGGAGAGAGCTCATCATGCTGTGTAGAGCTGGTCCACGAAGAGTAAGGGGCTAGGAGGCATGCTCTTGATTTCCTCATCTGTGGCCTATGGGGACTGGACTTGATTTCTGGGGCCCTTGATGCTGAACCAAATTTTATAGAGATGATCCTGCCTGAACCAGGAAGGGTCTTGTTCAGATCTGAGCCTATCAAGGGCCTGCCTGGAGCCTCTCTTTTTCCCGAAGCTGCTTTGACCACCCAGACTGCTGTGGCCATGCTGCTCTTGCATGTGTTTGATATAAAATGTCTCTAACCACAGTCTAATGTGGACACTCAGTGGTGACTGTGTTCAAATGAATTCAAATGAAATACAATTAAAATTTCAGATGCTCAGTTGCACGAGCCACACTTCAGATATTTAAGAGCTGCGGGGCTCGTGGCTACCATGTTGGACAGCTGATCACAGAGCATTTCCATTGTCTATTGGACAGGCTGTGCTAAGTTTCATTTGCCTTCGCACTTACCTCCTGTCTTTCTAGCTCAAGGATGGAGAGCGCATGTGTGAATCTGAGAGCCCCACTCTGACCTGGGTCTGGGGCTCACGCTCACCTGGGTTTGAACACTAGCCTAGAAACATGGAAGCTCTGGGAAAAATATCAGGTTCTCTAAGCCTCGATTTGCTTCTCTGTGAAACTAATTATTCTGACCTTTCTCATTTGTGGTGAGAATTGGTAATGATGAAGTGTTAACAGCGGAGTGCCCTGCGTATGGTGGCTCCGGAGTAGGAGCTCACTCATGAGTTCCCAGGGTTGGCCAGGGCGCTCGTCCCTCATTACAGCCAGGCGACAGAGCTCCACTCTCCAGCCCCTCACGGGGAGGGGCCAGGTGCAGCACACCTGGGTCAGGCAACAGGTCACTTCCTCAGGTGGCCCAGGTCCGGGCAGTTGGCAAGGTGCTCAGAGAGGCATAAGCACCCCCTTCAAACACAGACGGGTTGGAAGGTGTCACCATGGTAACGAGCATGACGCTTCCGAGGCATCCTCTGTTTCTATAAGGATGTGATCACAACGTCTTAGACTCACATCACTACCAGTTGTCCTGGTCGTCTTTCCAGAAAACTGTTGGAATACTCCTCCTTGGTGTTCACTGAACAGATATTTGATGAAAAAGTTGAGGATCAAAGCCCTCATAAGATCCTGATTTAGAATCAGAATTTAATAGTATTCATTCTACCTCTGAGTGTGGGGTGAAAGGAGTTGGGATGAGCCAGGGGCAGGCCCATTCACAGCATGTTGCCCAGTTTCCCTTGAGATCACAGTGGTGTGCAGTGAATGTTACTTGTACTGGTTGAATGTAGTGGTGTCTGCTCTCAAATATAGGGACTGGGAAGTGAGCTGGTGGATTCTAGACGGTCCTTCTTCCTCTGTGATGACATCAGTGGAGCAGTCCTGATGGTGACACATCAGGGCGCCCTGTGCGCCTGACGGGGTGGTTATTTACACAGGACCTGAGCCCTTGGGGTGCCAGCGTATGCCGTGGCCATGTGAGTCATGGTGCCAGGTCACAGGCAGGAGTTAATTAGGTTCTTGTCATAGAGTACACCTAGTGCTACTTGTGATGTCAAGGGCTTCTCAGACTATTCTTAGAACCCCTGGCTTTAGATGCCATGAGAGTAAGTAAAGTGGATTCAGAGACTGGAGATGGAATGACCACTGTTCTGGCTCTCTTCTCTGGGGTACGGGGCTGGCTTGCTCCCCAGATGTCCATTTCCTCACCTATGAAATAGACCTGCAACTAATTTATCTCTCCCATTCCTTCCATTGCACAAATTTAGTAATCCAGGAAATTTCCAGAAGAGAGATTCACAAAAATTTCCACCCCAAGATGCCCCCACTCCACTTTCCTTAATAACTTCTTTGTGTGTCCATGTCACTCCACAGCCCTCCTTTTATTCCCTCTACTCCCCACCCCCCCTTTCCCTCTCCACCTCCACCTTCGCCGCCTCACCTCCATCTCTTTCCTCTCTCTCTCCTTTCTGAAAATTGGGAGTGTCAGCACCCAGCCAGGGGGTGGCCAGGATGCGGTGTCCTCTGTAAGGTGGCAGTCCCACCTTGGCCAGGTGGTTCAGATGGTTGGAGGGTCGTCCTGTATACCTAAGCAGTTGCAGGTTCAATTCCTGGTCAGGGCACCTACCTGGGTCAGGGCAAATATGGGAGGCAACTGATCGATGTTTCTCTCTCTCAAATCAATAAAAAATATATATCCTCAAATGAGGATTTAAAAAATATATTTAAGGTAACAGTGCTGTCTGTAGTTGGTGTGACAGCACTGAGATGACACACTCTTCATGTGATAGCTGCCATGTTAAAGACATGTTGCTTTGTACAGTTTGAATTTTTATTTTAAATGTCATTCTTCCCTTGCTGCTAAAAACATGGTTTTGGTAGAAATTTGTAATTTTTACCTCCAGAACTGCATGAAAAAGGTTGACCTCTGGTTTCTAATTTTTCTGCAATTTTTCTTGCCCTCTCTGAAATTCTAGGGTGGTTTTCTTAGCCTAACTGCCAATTTCATCTGAAGCCTGGAAACATTGTTTTTTGGTAAATAACACTTGAAACTGTTTACTCAGATGACCTATTAAGAGAAATTTGGCTGAATAAATTTGATTCATGGAAAATTAAGTTAGCTAAATGTAGTACTGAGAGTGGTGGAAATTGTAGCAAAAATTGAATATTTTGTAATATTTATTTGTACACTTTGCAGAATTTTATTTATACACCTTGCAGTCTATCTCCAGAAGAATCTATCATCTTTCGGTTTTTAGTTATTTGATACTTTTAAGGAAATGAGCTTTTCCTTCGAGTGCCTCTTTCAAATAAACTTTGGGAGGAAGGAAGCTGTTTAAAATGATAGCCTTTGGCATAGGCTCCCCTCTGAGGTTACTGGAGTCTCCTGACAAAGAGCTCAGCTTCCGGTATCTGCTGGCTTGGTTGGGTCTGAGGTCTTTGAAGATAGAAAGACATGCTGGGCCTGTGCAGCAGGCTCCAGGAGATGCTGCCAGGGCCCTGGTCCGAGGGGATGTGCCAGAATGTTCACTGGGTCAGGTGTGTACTGGATCACCACATCAGCTGCTGAATGTGAACAGGGGCGAGGAGCCAGAGGTCCCTCCAAGAGTAGCCACATGGAGCAAGTCCAAAAGATGAGTGTGGCCTGTGAACAGGACCCGGAGGCCAGGCACAGATTGGCAAGCAGGGCAGACTGGTCCAGGGTGCAAATGGTGAACAAAGTAAATGTTGGGAGCCTACTATTTTTGAATTTAAACCATAACATCAGGGTCCACTGGTTTAAAGTCATAGGGCTGGGCCTGACCTACCTACAAAGCATGAAAGGTCCAACTCTCTCATCTTTTACATGAAAAAAGGGGCATCCAGAGAGGATAAATGACCTGCCAAAGGTCACAGGGCTTGTCAGAAGCAGAGTAGAGCCCTCAGCTACCACACATAGAAATGCAGTGTGTATCGGTAAGTAGATAGAAAAATCTGACATTTGCATGATCTAGAGTAGCTCTGTCCTGTAGAAACATGATGCAAGCTACAAATATAATTTTAAATGTTCTGGTAGTCTCATTTAAAAAGTAAAAAGAAACAGGTGAAGTTAACTTTAATATATTTTATTTAACCAAATATATCCACAATAGTAGGAATGAGACATAGCAGTCACCTCAGTGTTTTATCTCTAGGTTTGACACAGAAAGAGCTAAGGTTTGTAAAAAAAAAAGGTAAAAATCTATGCTTTATTGTACTAGCTCACATTGCTATTATTAACTTCCCTCTGCACTTGTAATTCTCATAATGATTCAAATAATAGCGGTTGACATTCTTAAGTGGAATGAGTTAGAAACTCATTGTGATCTGCTTGCTCTTCAATTTGTTTCGAATTCTTTACTGAATTAGTTAGACAGGATAATAGTCTAACTATTCGAATTCTTTACTGAATTAGTTAGACAGGATAANTGGAATGAGTTAGAAACTCATTGTGATCTGCTTGCTCTTCAATTTGTTTCAAATTCTTTACTGAATTAGTTAGACAGGATAATAGTAGCTGCTGCAACAAATAAGTCCTAAAGATTTGGGAGCTTAACACACAAGTTTATTTTTTCTCATGTAAAGTTCTGATCTGTGGGTGGCTGTGTTGCAAGAAGTGGTTCATGGACTCGGGAGCCTTCCATTTCGAAGCTTTCCTCAATCTCAATCTCACGTCTGGTTTCCGAGGTTGCTGTGCTTCTCTGCTGTAAGAGGAGAGAGCTTGTAGGTTCCAGCAGCTGGGTTTTATGGACTTGACTCTCACTCCTGTTCCTGCTCTACTGATCAGGACTCAGTCCCATGACAAC